GGCACATGCTTCGAGGAAACCCAATCCCTTTGCCGCTGAAGAATTAGTTTCAGGTTCAGTAGACCGAGCCACAGCTGTGTTATGTGCAACTAGTGTGATCCCGAGCACACATGAGACGGATGGCTCAGGCCGCAGCACCTGTTGTCATTTTGTACCAGGTCGGTAATGGAACTACAAGTCACTTAGCCCCGCAAATGAGTCATTATGGACGAACTCCAACGATATGTATGGTGCAACGACTAGTGAGAGTTGGCGTTTGCTCTCCAGAAAAAGAAGAGCAAATACTTCATCAAGCACGCGACCACAATTCTGACGTCATTTGGTATCCGTTGATCGAAGTGTCTACCATAGGTTTTAACTCATCTCTGTCCGCCGTACAATACACCATAAATATCAAATAGGTGGGCTCCCTGCCGCGGCTTCGTGAAATGGTCTGCCTTAAACTTTACGCTTTGGGAACCGATGCAACACCGGTGGGTGGACAGTTGGGAGAAGATGGGAAGCGGAGCAAGGTTAGGCAGCCTCCCGCCATCTTAGGAAAAACTTGACATCAACGCCAGTGACATGCCGGCTGATCGAATGTTAAAAAATGACACAAAATCAAGTCTGCCTACCCCAAACCCCAGCCCGTCTGCATGCAACGCCACGCAAGATGACATGAATCTTGTCTGTTCCCACGAACGGGAAATCGGGGTAGGAGACCAAGGGACATGGTTATGATTGAATCGTGACCTATCCCTCGCGCGTGTGCAGTCATACCATGACATCACGGCTGCAATTGGGTAGCACGCAGTACTAACGGCCTTCAGGCTAAAACGATTCCCTCTTTGCTTTAAATCAAGTCTCGTCACGTGGAGTCTAGCAAAATCAAAAATAATTCATAAGCAAGTTCATGAATAAGCAACCGCTTTCGGCGCACAATGACCAGACAGGCAATTTATGACGCCTAATTACACAAAGCCTAGTATGGCAACGACCCGGTTCAGGCTCTGCGAGCGGCGTCTATGATCCCTATGTGATCCTGATCTATGGTCCTGCTGTGGTCCTGATCCTTATCCTATAGAAATCTGCCGACCGCTGTTAAACCATCTCCAGTTCGTGCATTCGGTGATTTCATGACACCTAGACGTAGTCCTCATATGTCCTCATCCTCGTCCTCCTTCCTCCTCAGACCCGTATCCTCTCTCGTGCCCATCTGGGCGACGCGATAGGGGGCGGCTGCTCCTCGCCCGTCGTGTGTCCTCGCTCGTGGCCGTCGGGACGGCCAATCAGAGGATGGGCGGCGGCAGCGTCCTCGCGGGCGGGGATAGACTCCAGCTCCGGACGGACGGCCTCCATCTCCTGACGCTCCTCCGCTTCCTGAAGCAAACGTGACGGCCAACATTCCTGACGCTCCCCCGTCCCCCGAAGCGAACAAGACGGCTAACATTCCTCTCACGCTTCTCCGGCTCCTGAAGTGGAAGTGACGGAAAACTCTCCTGACGCTGCTCCGCCTCCTGCAGCGAACACGATGGCTAACACTCCTGAAGCTCATCCGTCTTCTTATGGCAGCGGTGATAAATAAGCAGAAAGGGAACCTTGCTAGGGTGAACACCGTAAGTTTTTAGACGTGAAAAGACAACTGTATGCTATTTTTACAAATTAATTTAGATCATTAATGATTAGACATATAGCAGGGGGTTTGAACCAAGTGCGCCTTTTAGCCTTCGAAGGACCTCGTGTTAGAGTGTTGAATACAGGGCCCTCGATACCTCCACGATCACTTCCGTTGATGGTGAGTAGAGAAATCGAACCAGACAGCAGGCACGCCTCCACTCAGCTGGTTCCATACCACTCCCTTGACCTGTTAGACGTTGGTCTAGCCGAGCATTGACGGCCGTTCCTACTCATTTCACGGTACTTGCCAGGGTGATCAACAGATGCATCGTCTAGTGAGAGTCGACGTTTTCGAATAAACTCAGACCTTAATATCACGATTTGACGATTTATTATTACGAATTTAAATTTGTTATAACGTTGCCTATGACGCTGCCTGGCAAGGGATCTGAAGATGTCAGCTGACCTGTTGGAGCCTCCTCCCCTAAAAGGCACCCGAAAAATCCCGGCATGGTTCTCCTGCCACATCAGTAAAGTTCACGTTGTCGAAGGATTTAGTTCGCACCTTGGCCACCAGGGTGTTTAGTTCCTACCTTGGCCGCCAGGGCTCGCTCGATGCAGTCCAGCGGGGCTCGTACGTCATCATCCAGCAGGCCGGCAGAATTCGCAACGCGGACTGCAGAACCTGAGGCACAGCAGATCAGGGATCACATCGGCCTTCAGACGGGCGTTTCTTTCGTGAAATGAGTTGAGGGAATGGTGGTTAAAAAATTCCGCAACTTACCCCCAAACTATGCTAACAAATGGATGAGTTTCCGGATATGGCACACCTTCTTCTCAAAATTGTGAGGGGAGGGGAAGAGAGGAGGTAGATTGAAACTCTCCTCCCCCACCTCTTAACTAAAACGGAAACTACACCACTGCCTTCAGATTACCTGAACTAACCGTCCAGTGTAACTATAAGCCGTTTGGCTGGCTGACCATCCGTCCAACTCTAACCATATGATCGCCCAGGCCGGATGGCTAAGCGAGCAGTCAAACCGACCGACCACTCAGACTGTCTGGCCGTGGTCACGGCTCATCACTCAGCGGTGCAGGCCATTTCACGGGTCCGCGGGTCACAGTTCAGTCCACGGGTCGCAGTTCAGTCCGCGGTCACAGTTCAGTCTACGGGACGCAGTCCACTCCACGGGTCACAGTTCAGTCCACGGGTCGCAGTTCAGTCCACGGGTCACAGTTCAGTCCACGGGTCGCAGTTCAGTCCACGGGTCACAGTTCAGTCCACGGGTCACAGTTCAGTCCACGGGTCACAGTTCAGTCCACGGGTCACAGTTCAGTCCACGGGTCACAGTTCAGTCCATGGGTCGCAGTTCAGTCCATGGGTCACAGTTCAGTCCACGGGTCGCAGTTCAGTCCACGGGTCACAGTTCAGTCCACGGGTCGCAGTTCAGTCCATGGGTCGCAGCTCAGTCCATGGGTCAGTTCAGTCCACGGGTCGCAGTTCAGTCCATGGGTCGCAGCTCAGTCCATGGGTCACAGTTCAGTCCACGGGTCGCAGTCCACTCCACGGGTCCCAGTTCAGTCCACGGGTCGCAGTTCAGTCCACGGGTCACAGTCCACTCCACGGGTCACAGTTCAGTCCACGGGTCGCAGTTCAGTCCACGGGTCACAGTTCAGTTCACGGGTCGCAGTTCAGTCCAGGATCACAGTTCAGTCCGCGGGTTACAGTTCAGTCCACGGGTCACAGTTCAGTCCACGGGTCACAGTTCAGTCCACGGGTCGTAGTTCAGACCACGGGTCACAGTTCAGTCCACGGGTCGCAGTTCAGTCCACGGATCACAGTTCAGTCCACGGGTCGCAGTTCAGTCCACAGGTCGCAGTTCAAAGCTGCGACCCGTTCAGACCCAGTGGGGGAGCAGTCTCTAGCTGCAGGGGGCTCTTGACGGCCTTAGTCCGGTCAGCACGAGGTGGAGCCAGAAGGGCGCCAGTTGATGCGCTGCTTTGAGGTAACTCAAGCAAATCATTGGCTACGAACGTTGGTGCAAACTCCGCACATAACAGTCCCCAGCCTCATCAAATGTAAACAGGATGCGCAGTTTGCTCTCAACACGCCGACTCCAGCTCCATTTTGCCATGCATAAGTGAGCATGCATGACAGAGCTCGCCAATCATCCATCAGCTATGTCGTCAATCATCATAATGCAACCGATATAAAGACAGCGTCCAGTCAGCACCCAGCACACACCAGTGCTGATGGATTTCGTTATCGACGGCTTGCAACCGCTTGGCCCGGTCCTGCTTAACATTTTGAAATGCAGTGTGGCCTACAACGCTATCGCTGGTATTTGATTACACAGCCAAGAGTAAGAATAAAATCATGAGATAACAGCAGATATTTTTGGTAAGTTGTTCAGTGCATTAGCAAGGAACATTATTCATACAGATGCACTTGCACTTCTGCTATCTGAATAGCATTGCATTGCTTCTGCTATCTTCTGCTATTGTTTCGATAAAGGCATGACGCCGAAATATCAACCCAACCATATACCCATTCTCCTGGTTTGCTCCGAGGAATAAGGCTAATGCTAATGTCTTATCTATGCCAATATATTTTGGGACGATATTTGTCAATTTATATCAACGAGTGGCAGCATGACGATGCGTAATTTGTGAACGCGCTTGACAGAGTGCCGCATCATTCCACCAGCATCACCTCCACGATATGGCACTTCAGTCTACTGGCAGCAGTTCGTTAGTATAACGTTCGTTCGTTAGTATAACGTTCGTTCGTTAGTATAACGTTTGTTCGTTAGTATAACGACGCAGCTAACCGCGCGGGGATTAGCCTGATAACGCGCTTTTCGCGACGGGAAGCAGGTGGCGCCACGTGCCGAGTTCAGCTGGGTAGTGGAGGCGGAGAGACAGGGATGGGGATGCCGCGCGGCGAGGATGGCGAGGCGCAAGCAGCCCCGGCAAGATAGGCGACTTTCAGTACAGGCTTCTCTCCTGACCGGTGACTGTGAACAGTAACGTCACGTGACGATCGGTGACGGGGAACTAGCGTCACGGTTACAAGTTAAGGCCTGTGCCTACATAGATTGGATGCCACAAGGCGGGATCGAATCCACTGATATCCAGCTATATTCCGCTATCTCTCGCCATATTCCCCTATATTCCCTAAATCCCGCCATATTCCGCTATATTCTACTATATTCCTATATTCCACTGGGGTAGCACCGCCTATGCTTTATCCACTCCGCCACGTGTGGCCTTTGACAGTTTCTGACCTTCTGACGGGCGTCCAGGTAGTTGGCCTCGCGCTGCAGGCGGCCGATCATCTGCCTCTGAAGGTCACTGACCTGTCGAAGGTCAGCCACGTTTCGGGCCTGTGGATGAAACCCGAGTCATAGCAACTGAGAGGCAAGAGCGGCCACGGTCCCTCAGGTTTAAGAGCGCCTGCCTTCCATCCATCCACCCATGACCGGGTGGGTTGGAGTCTCTTCAGGTGCGAACAGCTCGGATCTGACCGACGGGGCCTGCGGCCGGTGCTTAAGGTCAGGTGTCGCCAGGGGGGGGGGGGAGAGGGGAGGACGGGCCGTGTCGAGTATTGCGACCTGTTAGGCTTGCGCCGTAAAGTTCTGCCGTTGACC